ACACACACATGCACGAACACACACGATTTCTGCCGGGTCTGGGAGCTGAAACTTACCGAAATCACAAAAGAGTTCCTCTACCGGGTCTGTATACTTCATGACTTTGTTCCCGGTTACCGGGTCTGTATACACTTCGTTTCATCATGGTCGTCTACAAAGATGCTACGGCTATTTAACTTTTCGAATCGAGCCGAACTACGCAGGTCGCCATTTTTGCCCGGAAGTTCTCGTGCTACTCCTCTCTCTCTCTCTCTCCACTGCCCACAGACAAAATTGTTCGCTTTTAGTAGGCTAACACTACTAACAGTAGTAATGGAACGTTTGTTCACGGCACAGAATTCTACAATTTTTCTGTTATCAGTGTAGAATTCTGTGGTTTAGGGTGAACGCAAAATTGGTTGGCCTAGATCTAGGTTATAACGGTGAACGCCCACCGGGTGAGAATAGCTCGCCTGCGCTATTCTCACCCGAAGTGAGAAAGAGGTGGCCTTTATTTTCAATAATGTAAAACATTAGACAGAACTAGAATCTAGATCTAGTTATCTAGATCTAACTGCAATGTAACCTCAGCCTCTACTACTTCTGTCAAAACATCTCATCTTCAGGAAGGACTTCCGTAACGAGCGACCACCCCATCAAACACAATAAAGAAGAGGCCTAACCCTAACCCTACCCCTCAATTCTGCTGTCTCATAGTGGTCGCTCGTTACGGAAGTCCTCCCCATCTTCAACTAGACTCTACCACAGTATTACAGTAGGCTACAGTAGATTCTAAGCAAATGCCAATCAATAACAGTAACAGGCTAGATCTACAATTCAACCAATGAATGGCAATGTCAATCTTCTCAGGTAGACCTACAAATCATTGTCCTGCTTTAGATTATTAAAACACATCTACAAAACATCCCCCAACAAACAAAAACGGCCAACGTCAACAAGAGAAACTCATGACAACTGAACTATGAACTGTTTGAACCGTGAAGACTCGACTGAAACCGAACCGTCCAACGAAGTTGAAGGAAAAGCTCTTCCACATTTCTTGTTAAATGGATCTGTTCGAGGTTATGTCTGACATACCTTGGAATAAAATGAAGCAAGGAAATGTCATTTACCAAAAATGTAGACTTAAAAGGTAATAATATTCACGAATTGTCGGATAGTCTATTGGCCAAGAAAACAACACCGATAAAATACCTTCGTTTCCCGTGGATGGGTTCATTATGTCGTCCAGTGGTGAGAACACAGGGAGTCTGGGTGGATGCCCTGGATTACTCATTGACAAATGAAAGTAACCCTTCTGAACAAATTATTATCACACTTTCTAACGTTTTACAAGATAATTCAAGCATGAGTGGTTACGAATATAGAAGTTAGCTTCACACACAACTACATTTCTATCATTCGTAACACATTGTCAATTTCTACGTCAGTCCTTACAATGCTTTTATGGACACGAATTGTTTCCGGAAGCGAGCAATATTGGCGCATGCGCGGGGATACGTGGCATTGAAATCCGCGAGGGAGACAACCGTGAAAATGGACGTTGAACTTTAACCCATGATGTGCCACTCCCACAAATTGAATTTCAATAATCCTTTGTGATGAAAGAAAAACAACTCTTAAATAACAATTATTTCAAAATTAATTTCTCCCTGTTCCCGCTTTTCGTCCATTTTTCTTTCTCCCTTTGCAGCCTTTCCCTTTCACACCCTCCTTAATTTAACCTCATATTGAGAGGAAAATGTTCCCATGCTCCAAAAATCTCAAGCAGTTCCATCAAACAGCTGTAACAACTTCAACCACTGGAAACATAGCAGTTAAGCGGCTCATTTTCAATGCTGGAAACTTCATCCATAGGATAAGCGTACAGGCTTATGTTACCGGTCATTGGTGGTCTATAAGATGATACGGTCAATTGATTTCCATAAAGTTTCAGCTTTGTTGACGGTGATAAATAATACGCCCCTTTCGACAAAATTTTAATAGGCCTAAATTAATCTAAGAGTTGGGATCTCCAAATTTTATATACACCTTCAATAGGCTGATTAGACCGAGATGGGGAATTTTTTTTAACTCCTCAGATAACTGAAATTCGAAAAACCTGCTGTTGTAGTTCAAGCAGGGTCGCCGGGCCAATAATATATATCTTAGTCTTAGTACATGTACACAAGCAGAGTTCTTACAACCAGATTTTCTGTAGCACTCGGCTGGAGCTTTGTCCCTTGTACCAGTAATGCCATTATGATTCTCTGTTGGTTTTAGTTAGTGTTTGACGGCACTTGCAATACTATTATGTCATATAAGTGCCGATTATTAGGAGGTGTTCCAAAGAGTACCATAACCAATTTTAGACACAAAAAGACAGAGGGGAAAAAAGAGCGATGGACTTGTAGTAGAGAAGAAGGAGCAAACCACACCAGAGCACCCGCCAACCATCCACCATGATTCTCTGTCAGTTTTGCGTTTCCGCCCCCCCCCCCCTCTCTCTCTCTCTCTCTCTCTCTCTCTCTCTCTCTCTCTCTCTCTCTCTCTCTCTCTCTCTCTTTCGCCCGAAAAGTAATGTGCCACATAATAAAGTCGAATTTTTGTTGTTGTTGTCTTGAGTCAAGCCTAACTTTTTTGTTTTGCTTACCCATGCATTCGTTTATTATAACAACGTATGTCTCCTGATAATGAGATAGTTTTCGCGAAACCGGAGTGCAACTGAAAACAATATCTCTCCTCGATAATGAGATAGTTTTCGCGAAACCGGAGTGCAACTGTTCATCTGAGAAGGCCTAGGTGTACATGCATCAGGGTGGATAAGTTGGATGCTTGCTGAAATATTTCCATCTCACAGAAATCGAGCTTCCTCATGAAGGCAGAGAGAGAGAGAGAGAGAGAGAGAGAGAGAGATATTTCCATCTCACAGAAATCGAGCTTCCTCATGAAGGCAGAGAGAGAGAGAGAGAGAGAGAGAGAGAGAGAGAGAGAGAGAGAGAGAGAATGAAACTTAAAAAGACTGCGGATATTTCAGTTTCCCCAGGACAAGGGAGTTGAAGATATTTTATCTACTGCCAGACCAAGGCTCTACGGCATAACGTCCCTGATCGATCTAGAAAACTAAAGATAAATTCAGATAACGTCAAGTGGAATGTGACCCCAGGCTCGGGAAACCACTTTTCTTCACTGGACAGCCCTCACGGTTTTTTGACTGGCAATAGCGTCTGTGCAAGGGTAGAAGTAAGTTATATATAAGCTAATTTAATTAATAATGTATTCCCCAGTTTTCTATTTTTAGATGACACTCCCCGTGACCTGTCGGCTCTATCTGCTGCTCTTGTTTGTATAAATATTATTATATTGTACGCGCCACCTCTTTCCGGCACCACATTACGCCACTGTCTCTACCAAAGATCGTGTATAACAGCCCACTCCTCTCTTTGAACCAATTAAAAAAGTGTCCTTAAAAAATTCGGTGGCGCCCTCTTCGAAAAAGAAACTAACAAACTGTGCTACCTACATGTATTCCTTATATTCTTCTTCTGGAGAAACGAAATGGAGCTTCAAAACAAAGACTGCAGCGCCATCTGAAGCAATGCGCTGACTTCCGCGGACACTTCTTTGGCTAGGTGAACAATCTTGTTTTAGTTTTATACGATCTTTGTCTCTACTCATTATTTTGTCGGGTTGAGCTTTAAAAAAAAAACAGCAAGGGGGGCTCTCGTGGCATAGAGGTTAAGGCGTTGGCTTCTCATTCAAAGGTCCCGGGTTCGAATCCGGGTAGCGACCGAAACATTTTCTTCTCTAAAATTGTCTACTTTCACCTCCTTTCTTGCTCTCTAAAAATGTTCTGTCGTCTGTTTTCGTCTCCTCTTTCTACCCCACCCCCTCACCTCCTTTGCCCCCTCCTCTGGGCTCCTGACTCTTTCTGCAGCCTTTCTACTGCTACTCCTTGGCTCCTTCTTGTTGCTGTTTTTCAGCCACACCCCTGATCTTCTGGTAGGAAAGATCTACACCTAGCCTTCTCGGACAAGGGTGAAAAATCTCGGGGGGCCCGAGAGCAAGTTGCGCACGCTAAAGATCCCTTGATGGTCCAAAATCGACAAGAGTAGGTTTCGGCAGCCACCTGGGCAAAATTCAAAATTTCCTACCTACTGAAAAAGTCTAACGTGTCCCGCGCGCTCATATGACCTCATTATGCCGTTGCGAGCGCCGTAAAACACTTACCAAAATAAAACCCCCACGAAAAACGGTAATAGGTTCCAAATGGTCGCTCGATTGATCTATGAATATTTCTTGACGTCTGGTGGTTGTGTTTGGGAAAAATGATCGCTCTCCACTTTCCACCTTTGCATTGTACATGTACTCCGTCTGCCACAGACACTCTTTAGGTTGGGCGCTCCGTTAGTTCATAATTGGTATCACGGTTGACTACGGAGCGGATGGCCCTGGTTCTTGAACACGAGGTCGTTTTGTGGAGTTTTCAAGACTCTCGACCCATTTGGCACTATCCTATCGGAATCAGACGTTATAATTGGTGTCCCGTCTCATAAATAACCTATTTGTTTCGAGACACTTACATAAGATTTACATTCACTTTCTCTTTTGGATCGGTTCTGTCGCTCCTTCAGAACTTCCTGTGTTTCTGTTACCACAACCATTCTAAGTGTATTGATTCAAAGTAATATTTCTCTCCAAACCCTTACACATAATACCCCGACATAAACACACACTCAGTCCTACACACATGCAGAAACATTCAAAATTACACACTCACACCTATAGTACAATTTCAAGTACACCCCATGCATAGGCGCAATCGCAAGCGTACTGATACCGTAGATGTACACTATACCGAAAGGCAGAGCAGGCCATCTCTCTCTCTCTCTCTCTCTCTCTCTCTCTCTCTCTCTCTCTCTCTCTCTCTCTCTCTCTCTCTCTCTCTCACACACACACACACACACACACACACACGCTTGTCTTCGGTGTTAAAAAATGAACATGTAGCCCACATTGACACAAATTAGATCTTTAAGGAGACGGGCTTCGACCCTCCCTCACGCCTTTCAAGGCTAACCTAGGATGGGAGGGATACAACGTTCTAGATTAGTTCTAGCAGAAGACCAACAAGATATTAGGCCTGGCCTACTCTCTTTTCAAAAACTTCTCTCCACACCACACACAAATCAAATTCTGATTTTCTACGTACGGCATCGAAAGCGCCAAACCGCTACACCACAGCTGCCGATAATACATGTACACAATATTCTGATTTTGAGTCTACATAATTTGACTAGCTGCAGAAGTCGAAACTCTCATCTTTCCGAGAAATAGGCATATATTAAAATAATATTTCATCTAAGCTAGCGAGGTGGCAGGCAGAGAGACCTCTATGCTTGTTTGCTTTTAAATTTTAAAATGGCTCACAATTTCGGTTCACAGTCCCATGTCGCGATAGCTTGTAATTGTTATCGTTGTTTGTCTATACGTAGGCCTAAAAAGAAGAACAGCGAAGCACCATAACAGTCACAAAAACGGGAAAATCGACAGGCAGGAACAGATGCAAAGAAGCAATAATTATTTTATAAAGTATAAGGACACCACTGGTGCTCTCCAACTACCCGCCCAATGACAATAATTAATTAATGTCAACAACAAGTATAAGTCCTACTAACTACTAACGAAAACAAAAAAAAAGAAGTGATGAGCGTAGGATTATTAGAGGTTAGAGCGCAGCCCATCTGTCCTTTCGTGGTAATAATTTTAAGGCGAACAACAAACAATGACTACGACGAAATCAACGACAGCTGCAATACAAACAGTAACAGTAGCACACCCTTCCCTTTAAAAAATAAAATGGACAGATCAACATGTATGTCCTGTTAAATTTTTAAAAAAAAGCAATATCCAAAGGGGTTATAAATAGAACATCTTTGGCAATATCACATGTATTATTATTCAAGGAGCTTATAACTTTTTTGGTCGGCACAAGGATCGGGTAGTAGAGAATCTTTTAGGCTATGGGCTACTGGGAGTGAACCTCCCCCCCCCCCTGGGGATTTTTCGCCACCATGATTTTCTGAAAGGGTAGGACCTAGGGACTTCCCAAAAAAAAGTTTGCACCAAAATGTTGGCAATCTACAGAGTTACGGCCCTTGATTGTCCAGAAATTAAGAAAATACTTGATTTTTATTTTGGGGTTCTCTGTGAAGCCAAAAATGTGTACTTTCATATGATGTAAAACTCAAATATTATAAGATGACGTAAGTGTTGTAAAAAAATTTTTTTGCTAATTAATTACAAGGTGCAAAGAGGAAAAAATAAAATTCAAAGGCTGATTTCTCAAAATCTATAGAAATGATTAATTCCATTGCTTCAAATCTTCTATAACTTGATACAATAGTTTTCTGATAGGTACACACTTTGACTCAAAGTTTGAGGCACAAAATGAGAAGGATTGTGTGCAAAATAACTATGAGTTAAGGTGTTATGACCCTTGCTATTGCTATATTGAAAAAATACAAAACTGACGCGCGTCATTTTAAAAACGTCAAAAAGGCCGCATGAGTAATTTTGTCTCAGATATAGTCTAGATCAATCATTTGGACATGATAAAGGTGTCTTAAAAAACATTTTGTTAGTTAAAGCTAATTTAAAAGAAGACAGAGGTGAAAAATTTGAAGTCTG